AAACAACAAAAAATGTCTTTTATACCGCTAAGCTTTTATAGCTTATCTTTCAGAATATCCTTACTTTCTTTTTCCAGTAATAATGGCTGCTATGTTAGTATTTCATCGACGAATGTGAGACCAAAGCTGGCTTTTAGGCCATTTTGGATTTTAACTCTTTATTTAATATAGGCACAATCTCAAAATTCAGCCGAAAGATCCAGTTAGATTTTAAAAGATGTTGATGCAGAAATAGGGGATGTTCGTTGGTCTTCATAGATGTCTGCAGTTTTGATAGGAAACTTCTTATTATCTCCCACGCTAGCGTACAACATCTCACTCTACTTATATCTTATTGAATGTTCTTTGCGAGTGAGCTTTTTAATAAAAATTGATTGATAGCTAGTAAAAAAATTAATTACCTCTGCCTTTGCTGGGTTTTGTTGCACCTGTCGTTATAGTTGCTAAGGCAACCACTGGTTATTTCAAGCAGGTGATGCGCAATCGACCGACCGCTTTTCTCTTACTTTCGCAGCTTGTCTCCAAATCATACGCAGTATTAAAATTACCACTGTTCTAATATTTGAATCCGAAACTAATATAATATTGTTTTAGTGTTGCAAAATGAATTAGTGGCACCTAAGCAAATGCAACTGTTCAATTGTCTTGATGGCACCTAGCGTGTACACAATATCATTTATTCTGGAAAAAATACATCGTGCATATGCTGAAAACTTCTTTCTCTCACTTCGCTTTGAAGAGCATGATTGGTGTAGAGTTGGCGAATTCGATGATGAAGGTGAGTTTCCTCGCATATTTCAAATCGGAGTGCCGCGTAGAAAGCGCTGGCTTTGTTAGTTTCTCAAAATAACAATGAGAGAGTTAAAAATAACTGAATTAATACACGGTACTCCTATGATTCACACAAAGTGATGGGATGTAATTTACAATAGCAATGCGCAATTTCTTAAGAACTTCATTCTGTTGAGCTTCTGCGAGTGGGAATAGGCATATGCCTTCAAGTTAACGTTTTGAATGAGACAAAAAACAATATTTTATCACGTGTCGTTGTAACTTTTATTGTAACAAAAACGATAATGTCCAAAAATTGTCCACCTTTATCCTCGGTGGGCATTGGGAGCTTTATTGCTAATAGTAAAGCGCTTAATTCCAACACTATGCTCTCTTGCAGATCAATGAATTCTAGCCACTTGTTGCAAAATTTCGAAAAGCCTTTTTTTCACATACCTATTCTTTATTTTTTGTTTTTTTGGCACACGATAATTGTTGACAGTATAATTCGGCATTGAATGTGGCAGCTCCTAATGGATAACTCCACAACGTCCT